CGTGCACGGTACTTGATGGCAGGCACAGTGGGTTGATCAAAGACCATGATTGAGATACGAGGGGTACCTGGTTCAAGTTTTGCCTGGGAGCAGATTTTCTAGCCATGCTGCTACCCACAGTCAACTGGGAACTTGTGGCCAGGCACAAGGGGTACATGGATGCGGCTATTAGAGAGGTTCCGGGGTACGATTTTCCTTGCCAAAATCCGTATGGGCCCTACGGATTTTAGAGGCGTGCTCCATATGATTTTTCGGCACGGAGAATCCGTACCCGGCCGTGTGGACTGGCTTTCATACGAACCATGTTTCGTATGGAGATTTTGCGTCATAGGGTGCAGAAAGATTTTTGCGTACAAATTTGGTACGAGAAACATCGATTTTCCGCGGGAAGTTTTGATTTCGGTACAAATTTTCAAAATAAAAAAGCATAGCGCAGGAATGTGACGTGTTTGCGACCGTAACCTAGGCAATAACGGCAAACACATAAGTTCCGTACTCCGGAACATTTCACTGCTGGAATACGACGTATAAAACATCCGTAGCGCCTCTACAGATTTTGGCACGAAAAATCGTACTCCATAACCTCTCTATTAATGCCTAATGGGGTTTCTCGGCACTTGTACCAATGGTTGTGCGACTTATCCACTCACCCCCACCGTTAGGAGCTGCATCTGCCGCTAGAGTTTACCCGGTGTTGGCGGCCGTCGTGAGTTCCCTTCGTTAACGGACACGATATTTTTTCTTTTTTACTCCACTTCATGTCATCTGCGACATCGGGTTTTTGGGCATTATTCTGTACCCGTCTACCCGAGGTCCTCACGGGTAGCACGGGTACCCGACTACCCGTGCACAACACTAATCATGATGTCTGCAAACAGTGTTGGGGGGGGGGGGGGGGTGAATGCATACAGTGTGAATGTGTACAGTACAGTCGAAGGGAACTGCAAACTGCATATGGAAACACACAGACAGTGCAGGGTGCTACAATACATGCAATACTGTGTAGTACAATGTTTACTAGCACATGTGAATATGCCCATACAGCAGTGTACATGTGCTTGTACAGGTACATGATATGAATATGCCCATACAGCAGTGTACATGTGCTTGTACAGGTACATGATATGAATATGCCCATGCAGCAATGTACATGTGCTTGTACAGGTACATGATATGAATATACCCATACAGCAATGTACATGTACTTGTGAACATGATTGTGAATGCAGCGATACTGCCGGAAGTTCGCTAATGCTAAAGACAGAACTTGGCAGGATCCACCGCTCGGTATCTTTATCTGTATGAGATAGCACAGTGAAATCGGTCTAAGATGACCAAGGGTCATCAAGGGTCATCAAGGGTCGTTTGACTGGAAATAGCATCCCTGGGTCGATCCTGGTTGCAGCGGTCTTCTGGGATGGTGGTTGCCTTATCCGAGTGGCCGCCTTGACAGGTTTTAATGTACCTGCTCACCATGGGTGTTTTTCTGTCTGTTTATGTTTGTTTTTGCACTCCCTCTTAGGCGTGCACGGTTCATTGACGGTTGAGCTCACGATCCGGTCGTTCCTAGCCGGCAAGGCGTCCGACAAAACCTGATGTTCCGCGTAGGTTTGCCGTGTGTGGCCGTGGTGGCCAATGCCTATCTGCGCTTGCTCAAAGTAGTGTGCAGGCTGCACTTTGAACATCGACAATAGTGAAACGGAATCATGCCCTGCATCAGGTTTGTCATTCATTTCTTTGTTCTGCATGTTCTGATTTGGTTGATAATGGATGCCAAGTGAATTGAATGACCGTTTTTCTAGATATTTTTCATCTTTTTTTGCACCGTCTCCCGCCGCTTTTTGAAATTAAAAATTATCCTCTTGAAAATTCTTTGCATAAACTACACATAATTATTATGCAGCGTAGCACTTTTAGTTTCCTTCATACAACTTTAGTGGGTTTCCCACACCAGTTTTGCATATTTGTTTGATTTATCATTTCCCCAAATTTTTCTTTAGATTTAGCAGTGCTTGAGAAGTAGCAATGTATCACAACTACATACATTGACACACACACACACACACACACACACACACACACACACACACACGCACACACACACACACGCACACACACACGCACGCACACACACATACACACACACACACACATCCACACACACACATGCCGATGTGCACACATGCGCTGACACACACATGCATACATGTACATGCAAATACTTCCGGCAAGACGCACAGACGCCTCGTCTGTGCATGCATATCAAGGACAGGTTTTGATCAAACCGCTGTCCATGCACTGCTTCGCCAGTGTCGCTGCGTCTCCCACAAGCAATGTGAATATTCTTGAACTGGAGTCCCACCTTGTTCCACTCTTGATATTTTTCCTTTATTTGGAGTGTGCCCCCCCCCCCCCCCTACTTCCTCACCCGGAAGTTGCAATTCAGCGTCTGCTTCCTGTGCTCGTATTTTGCCGTTTTTTCAAGTTTTTCGCCTTCTCCGGTATTTTGCAGTTTATTGATTATGTGCAATCATTATAGCATTCATTGTATTCAAGCCGGACCCCGGCACTGCACAACCACAGCAGTCGGCCGGTCTGACTCGATTTTCAAAAGACTAAGTACACGCTCCTCTCAGTTAGGGCAGTCATGTGACATGCTCCAGGAAGTAAAGTTTTGAATAGAACCGATTCATTGTATTCTTGTTGTGTTGTGGCCTTCACCGCTATGGAGGTTATGCGGTTACATTCAGTCGAGATGCTGTGGCAAGGTCGCGGCACACACACGGCGGTGTTGTGCTAGAGACTCACGAGGCTGTATGCATACAATGTAGCCGTGACTGACTCGCGTTCTGCACATAGTGCCTATAGGCGATTCCACTGACTCACCGCCATGACATCATTAGCATAACCATGTTATCATTCGCATAACCATGACATCATTTGCATAACCTCAAAAGCAGGTAGCCTGTGCGGTGTGCAACAAAAAGTCAACTTTGCGTATAACGACACTCGGCGGGGCATCAGAAAAGTGTCCTTATTCGTGAAGTGTCGTTATACCCGAAGTCGCATTCCACATGTATTACAGCTAGATGCATGGGACTTTGTTCTGACTTGAACGTCGAACGCTACGTCATGCGTACATTTCTTTGTGGGCGTGCGCGTGTACGCATGCATGCATGTGGCATGCCGCGACATGCAGTCAAAGCATGCACTGCCTGAACATGGTCAAGTCAACCACGTTACAGAAACCACCTTATAGTAATAATGCTGCAGAGCACTTTTTTGGTGAAAAATACATCATTTTCCCTCAAAATGTTGTTGTGGTATCACGGCGCGGCATAATCCGCCAGAGCCTAATCAGAGTGCATGAATGCGCAGCATCAAGAGTACATAACCCCCGTCATGAGAGCGGGGTTATGTATGGCAACATGATGGATGTACATCATACCAGTTCCTGCTCTCTCTCTCTCTCTCTCTCTCTCTCTCTCTCTCTCTCTCTCTCTCTCTCTCTCTCTCTCTCTCTCTCTCTCTCTCTCTCTCTAAATCATGTGTAGATCTACCATGTACAGTCAGCTTTGCGTAAAATGACACTCGGCGGACGACGGGGCATCAGAAAAGTCATGTACCGGTACTCGAATACCATTAAAATACAGTCATGTAGATCCACATGCATGCATTGACTGCATGTGTATGCCACATCATCTAGCGCACGCCCAAAAAGAAATGTACGCATGACGTCGCGTTCGACGTTCAAGTCTAGGGTTTTCGAAAGACGACGACGTCAGGAAAGTCAATGCATACATGTATGGTATACATGTACATGTATTGATCAAGACGGTAGATGTACATGAAACCCGGCCAGTTTCATGTTGTTGTTGTATTCTTTTATTTCAATTCGCGCAGGGCACAGGTAATACTGATGTACTCTTATACATGACACAGTACCGTGAGTCAACTTCGCGAATAAATGCGCGTATAACGACAATTCGCGAATAACGACAGAATTCCCACGCCCCTAGTATTCCATAGCAAAGTCCCATTCGTGGACACTTTTCTGATGCCCCGCCGTCCGCCGAGTGTCGTTATACTGTGAAAGCCATTATTCTAACGAGGCGCATATTACAACGATTTCCCAAAATTGACTGGTTTACGTGTACCAAAGGTAACGATTCTCACTTATTCTCAACGCTCAATGGGACAGTATATGTATCGATTTCTGTATAACGATTTCTATTTTAACGACAGATTTCTCCTCGTTAACTCGTTAGAGCTAGCACTTCGTTATACGTATGGCTTTTACAGTACGCAAAACCGACTGTACATGGGAGATCTACACATGATTTAGATAGAGAGAGAACTGGTATGTACATCCATCATGTTGCCATACATAACCCCGCTCTCATGGCGGGGTTATGCACTCTTGATGCTGCGCATTCATGCACTCTGATAAGGCTCTGGTGGATTATGCCGCGCCGTGATACCATAACAACATTTTGAGGGAAAAATGTATTTTTCACCAAAAAGTGCTCTGCAGCACTACAATTGTAGGGTGATTTCTGTAACGTGGTTGACTTGACTGTGTTCAGGCAGTGCATGCTTTGACTGCATGACGCAGCATGCCACATGCATGCATGCGTACACGCGCACGCCCACAAAGAAATGTACGCGTGAGTCGTGACGACGCGTTCGACGTTCAAGTCAGTGCAAAGTCCATGCATCTAACTGTAATAGAATGCGACTTCGGGTATAACGACACTTCACGAATAAGGACACTTTTCTGATGCTCCGCCGAGTGTGGTTATACGCAAAGTTGACTTTTTGTTGCACACCGCACAGGCTAACTGCTTTTGAGGTTATGCGAATGATGTCATGGTTATGCCAATGATGTCATGGTTATGCAAATGATGTCATGGTTATGCGAATGATGTCATGGTGGTGAATCAGCGGAACCGCCTATGGGCACTATGTGCAGAGCGCGAGTCAGTCACGGCTACATTGTATTCATACAGCCTCGCGAGTCTCTAGCACAACACAGCCGTGTGTGCCGCGACCTTGCCACAGCATCTCGACTGATGATGTAACCGCATAACCTCCATAGCGGTGAAGGCCACAACACAAAAAGAACACAACGAATCGATTCTATTCAAAACTTTACTTCCTGGGGCATGTCACATGACTGCCCTAACTGAGAGGAGCGTGTACTTAGTCTTTTGAAAATCGAGTCAGACCGACCGACTGCTGTGGTTGTGCAGTGCCGGGTCCGGCTTGAATACAATCAATGCTGTAGTGATTGCACATAATCAATAAACTGCAAAATACCGGAGAAGGCGAAAAACTTGAAAAAAAACGGCAAAATACGAGCAGAGGAAGCAGAAGCTGAATTGCAACTTCCGGATGAGGAAGTAGTGGTGTGTGTGTGGGGGGGGGGGGGGGGGGGCACACTCCAAATAAAGGAAAAATATCAAGAGTCGAACAAGATCGAACTCCAGTTCAAGAATATTCACATTGCTTGTGGGAGACGCAGCGACACTAGCGAAGCAGTGCATGGACAACGGTTTGATCAAAATCTGTCCTTGATATGCATGCACAGACGAGGTGTCTGTGCGTCTTGCCGGAAGTATTTGCATGTACATGTATGCATGTGTGTGTCAGCGCATGTGTGCACATCGGCATGTGTGTGTGTGGATGTGTGTGTGTGTGTGTGTATGTGTGTGTGCGTGCGTGTATGTGTGTGTGTGTGTGTGTGTGTGTGTGTGTGTGTGTCAACGTAACGGTATTTGTGATACATTGCTACTTCTAAACTAAAGCACTGCTAAATCTAAAGGAAAAATTGGGTAAATGATAAATCAAACAAATATGCAAAACTGGTGTGGGAAACCCACTAATGGTGTAAGAAGGAAATCAAAAGTGCTACACTGCATAATAATTATGTGTAGTTTATGCAAAGAATTTTCAAGAGAATAATTTTATCAATAATTCAAAAAGTGGCGAGAGACGGTGCAAAAAAAGATGAAAAAATACCTAGAAAACGATCATTCAATTCACTTGGCAACCATTACGTACCAAATCTGAACATGCAGAACAAAGAAATGAATGACAAACCTGATGCAGGGCATGATTCCGTGTGACTAAGGTCCATGTCCAAAGTGCAGCCTACACACTACTTTGAGCAAGCACTCCACTGCGCAAGGCACTGGACAGAGATAGGCGTTGGCCACCACGGACAGCACACGGCAAACCTACGCGGAGCATCAGGTTTTGTCGGACGCCTTGCCGGCTCGAGACGACGGGATCATGAGCTCAACCGTCAATGAACCGTGCACGCCTAAGAGGGCGTGCAAAAACAAACATAAACAGACAGAAAAACACCCATGGTGAACAGGTACATTAAAACCTGTCAAGGCGGCCACTCGGATAAGGCAACCACCATCCTACTGTGGTGGACATGGAAATCCGGTCGCACGTCTAGCGGCCCCAGGGCACTGGCCATGCAGCCGTTGATAAGCGGTACACACATGCATTTATGCGCTGCAGTGCGCTGGTCGCATAGGATCAACATGTGCATGGGACACAGTGTTCTGTATGCGCTGAGGGCGCCGGCCCCGGTCAATTGACTGGATTTCCATGTACGCTACAGTAGAAGACTGCCGCAACCAGGATCGACCCAGGGATGCTATTTCCAGTCAAACGACCCTTGATAAGGCGACCAGCTGGCAACAGAGACCACATTTTGAAGGTCTCTTGAGCGGTCATCTTAGACCGATTTCACTGTGCTATCTCATACAGATAAAGATACCGAGCGGTGGATCCTGCCAAGTTCTGCCTTTAGCATTAGCGAACGTCCGGCAGTATCGCTGCATTCACAATCATGTTCACAAGTACATGTACATTGCTGCATGGGTATATTCATATCATGTACCTGTACAAGCACATGTACACTGCTGTATGGGCATATTCATATCATGTACCTGTACAAGCACATGTACACTGCTGTATGGGCATATTCATATCATGTACCTGTACAAGCACATGTACACTGCTGTATGGGTATATTCACATGTGCTAGTAAACATTGTACTACACAGTATTGCATGTATTGTAGCACCCTGCACTGTCTGTGTGTTTCCATATGCAGTTTGCAGTTCCCTTCGACTGTACTGTACACATTCACACTGTATGCATTCACCCCCCCCCCCCCCCCCCCCCCCAACACTGTTTGCAGACATCATGATTAGTGTTGTGCACGGGTAGTCGGGTACCCGTGCTACCCGTGAGGACCTCGGGTAGACGGGTAAAGAATAATACCCGAGACCCGAAGTCGCAGATGACATGAAGTGCAGTAAAAAAGAAAGAAAATATCTTGTCCGTTCACGAAGGGAACTCACGACGGCCGCCAACACCCGGTAAACCCTCTAGCGGCAGATGCAGCTCCTAACGGTGGGGGTGAGTGGATAAGTCTCACAGCCACTGGCACAAGTGCCGATAAACCCCACTACTGCCAATAGGCATTAGCCGCATCCATGTACCCCTTGTGCCTGGCCAAAAGTTCCCAGTTGACTGTGGGTAGCAACACGGCTGGATAAACCGCTCCCAGGCAGGATTTGAACCAGGTACCTCTCGTATCTCAATCATGGTCTTTGACCAACCCACTGTGCCTGCCATCAAGTACAGTGCACGTGTACAAAT